TTTTTCGTCATGAATACACCACCACCCATAGGGTGGACGAAGGTGGTAACTGAGGCTGGATACATGTGTTCCGAAGACGGCAGAGCGAATGGTCCTGACCATGACCCCAAGACCGGCCCACGAGTACAGGGGCCAGACAAATCCTAAAGTGACCGCCAAATGTCACACAAACAAAGCTTTACGACAGTTAATTCTACATTTGACTGTCCCCTCAGAAGGCCGTATACGTGCGTGCTTTGTTTGGTATTGATATAGACAACAAAGGAGACGGTACGAACGAAAAGAAATGTATCCATGGATCGAATCAAAGACCTTCCATTTCTGACTCGCTAGGCGTATTTTAAGCTGATAATAAGACTTTAGTTCAAAATACCTATTTTGATCAACGCACAGACGTTCCGATTTTGGCTGCGGTAGCGTAAATAACCTCAATGGCCCCGTTGGAAGATGGGGGAAAGAAGAGAGCCCCTGTTGTGGGCTATACCAAAAACAAATATTCGCTCTCGTTTGTCTATGTGTGTGCTCTTGGCCCAGGTTTCATGCCCTTTCAGCGTCATGAAACTTTCCGCATCCACAAAACATCGTGTGGGAGGAGGACCAGCGTAATTTTAAAACCGGCACCAGTGAGTAGAACTGGTAGATAGAATTGTGAAACAAAACTTTTCCAGATGGCTCAAGGTTGCAACGAAATCAGATTTGGTTTACGCTGCAGGTACTGTAAGAGTGGGTTACTGACATGTTGCAAAAATTATCCCACTTCACAGAAGCAAAATGGTCTCCAAGATGACCACTTATCACATAGACTGTCGAATGTGTGCGATACAAATATTAGAATCCCATTTTAATCCACAATCAGAGGGTATTAACTGTGAAAGCTGCACCTAGCTTTAACCATTTCGGAAAGTTACGTTTTAAAGATTCCCATGCTGTACTTGCATGTAGATGTTGGCAGCATACTTGGTAGTGAAGCTGACCACACAGAACCGTACAGACTCCTTCCTTCCATAAATCTGATTTAGACCATTTTTCCATTATCCAGCCATGGACGTACAAGATGGTCGGTGGAATACCATCGGCCAAATTTCCAGATCCAGTTAGATCACTTGAGGGGTATAAGTGATGTTGAAGTGGGATTACACCTCCCCAGTCACACAGGAATTGATGGATAACACAGCTGCCTCATGGAAGTAATTTCTCAATCTCCATTACGTTTTGACGGTTGATGCAGGAAACCACCAAAAGGGAATGAAGCGCCAATGAAATGTCTCATTCCATTTGCCTGCTGGTATTTGTTGAGACTGCTCGGTTAATCCTATTGCCAGCCTCATCGCCACATGGTTAAAGACAGAATAGTTTCCTCTCAAAGAATTACAAAACTGCTGAAGTGATGTAGTTCCTCATAGAATGTTTCCAGCACGTAGTCGACAGGATACCACTAAGAGAGTCACGCTGAGATCTAGATTCGCGGAAACACCCAAAGTCGAGTAACCGATCTAAATTAAGGGATTGAACTCCAATGTACTGAACCGACTGGCATGGAAGACTCGTGTGGAGAGACAACTAAGACCCAAAGCGAGTGTAACGTTAAATCGTTAACCATCCAGGCGGATTAATGAGACGGTGTTGGAAAACAGCCACAGTTAGTGAAGCGATTCAAGACGAGTGTTCTAGATACGAATGGCAGAAAAAAAACAATCACTTGAACTCAAAATTACTTCTCCACCGAAGGGATTGAAGAGCTTGAAGCTGATATAAAAAAACGTGGACCTAGGATAAGCATATTAGTAGGTCTAAAGATGAGAAAAATCAATCCTCAGCGGAAGAATAGGATTAAGGTGCATGGGATTTCAAAAGAGCACTTCCAGATAGAGACCGTCTTTCAATAGATGGCTGAAGAGGTTACCACATTCGGGACAAGCAAAACTGAGAATAGAGCGTGAAGATCAGCGCGAGGAGAAATGCAGTGGAAAGGCAGTGCCCAGGTTTAAACTCAATATGGCCGCTTTAATCACTGGGAGGAAATAACCCGACGTGGATGAACGACGTCTTTCAAGACCTCCTCCAAGGAAGCCGATTCATGCACCGAAATCTCCGTAATAACTTTCATACAAACACCCGAATTATTTTCGACAAAATTTACAATCACAAAACAGAGGAGAAATTATGCCGCCTTCTGTTTTACAATAATGCCCAATTTCGCTTTCTTTTTCTTTGCCTGGTCAGCCGCTACCTTAGCCTTTCTTTTCCGCCGTCGTTCTTGCTTCGCCTCTTCCTTTTCGAGCTTTCGTTGTGTGTCAAGACCCTCCAGCACGGCTGAAAGGTGTCTAAGAGAAAAAAAGAAACGAAGACATATCCTACTGGTGGGGCAGCAATAATAAATCCAAAGCAAGCAGATAGGAAAGGCATAGCCGTAAAACGGAAAAATGGTCTGGAACTCAAACTTAGCAGAAAGACGATTTTATGGTAGATTGACAGTGCCTCCAGATGCTACCGAAATGCTGCGCACTGATAAACTAAAAAACTGACGCTTTAAATTATGCCAATTCGACTTTACAGCCGTTCTCAAATGGCAGAAACCATACCGCGATACTGGTCAAACAGACAGAGAAGTAGGACACTCACTGCGAAGAAGTACGAAGAGAGCGAATAAGTTGGATGAGACGTGAATGGTACGAACGAACAGTCTTAGGAATGCTTGCCCTGTCTGAGGTTAAAACAGCCGTCAATTCCTCCGTTGTAAGCAGTTCAAGCTAAAAAACGATAAGAAACAATGTCAGAAGCATTAAAAGCCCAACATTGTATGAGAAGATTCCATCGTTCTGGTGAAGCTCAAAATGCATTCTAAAAGTAGGAAACGACATTTTCATCGAGAGGTGAGAGTGATTCTCTCGATTATACCTGAAAGCAAGGATGAACTAAGGGGACAAACAGAACGATCCACATGGAATTTCACAAGGGAATAGGAGCTCAATAAAGTGGATGAAGGCAAAGAACATGATACGTGCCCCAACTTTGATTCATCAAACAAGATCACGCGCACCGACCGCCAAATTACGAAATTCATGTCTTAGATTTAGAGTGCCCTAAATCAGAAAATTACTGCAATCTACTTAATCAATCGAACGTTTAGGGATACTTTTCTTTTCCTGCTAGACTCAAAGATACAATAACGGCCATGTGAAAAAAATTATTTGATTTTGCACACTACTCAATTACCACTGTCTTGTCAGATTTGAAGCAGTTGAAAAGGCACTCAAATACGGCCACAGTGAGGGCCTTGGATTGTGTCCAAGTTGAAGCGTTTGAATTAATGAAAAACGAGTCAATCAGAATGCGAGCCAGAGTGGGCACCCAGTCAGAGAGGGATTGAGATTTCGCGCCAGCCAATCCACCTGTCACAGCGTTTGCCAAACCCAAAAGAGCAGTTTTGGCATAAACACAGGATGAACTAGAACCAGATGATGATGTAGATGATGGTAGCGCGGCCTTAAGGCGCTCAATCACCAAACGACCTGCCAATTCGGCTATTTCCTAGGGAGGCCGAAAAAAACAGGCATCACTTACTACTAAATCGTCATAATAATGCATTCTAGGTTTAACAATTTACTGACTAAAATAGCATATAGTGACAGGTAATGCATCCACATTTTCGAAGAATCCCGACGAACTCACTGAGGATGAAGTAATGAGGTGCGTCAGGAGAAGTTGATGGGCCCTACTCGGGTGCATTTTGGATAAAAATTCTCCAATAACGTCCCTCAAAACTATGTTGAGCACTTCTGAAAATTTCTGGTCTGCAACTTTTTTAAACTGCTACATTGAAAGCAAAAAAAGAGGTTAGAAAGTCGGTTGGCAACTAGACAACAAATAAAATCTAAAATTTACTACGCAAAAATTTTCGATTTGGGCATTTTAGCGCAGCGGCATATCCCAAACTTCACCATGCTGGAAGAGGTTAGAGCAAGTTAACTCACCAGAAATTCACAGGCAGTCTGCAGACACTTGATCAGTTTACCGTCAGGGATGGCTAAAAGCAATACCATGACATGTCAGACTCTAAAACAACGGACTCGTCGCAACTCTCAAATTAATATTAGTAGTAGAGCCTGCGAAATAAACGAAAATCAGGCGTTATCCAAAAAATAATGACGAGATCGTTGGGAGAGATCGAGAGCAAGAAAGAGGATGATTGCTTGCATCATGACATTAGAACACGCACTCCACGTCCACGCATAGTAGATAAAGAAAGCAGCTTTAAAACATCGCCTTGGAGTGAAAATAAATCATATCCTGTTCAAAAAGTTAAAACTGAAGTGTAAACGAAGAGCCATGGAACTAGTTATAAATGCAACGCTTGGACAGTTAGCTTAGACCCCAGGTTTCGACAAGAGGGCATTTAGGAGCCCCACCATCTTGCTAACGGTAAGCGGTCGTAAACGCAGCTTTAACCAAAAAATAGTTACTATTAACAAATGTGCTGAGAAAACCTTGTAAACACTACTGGCTCCCTTCAGAGGAATCACACGCTGTTATGGTCGGTAACGTTAGATCTCCAGATTATGCGATTATCATGAAAACGGTACCGCGTCGTTTCAAACAGCTGTAATACTCGGAATGTTTCCTCATGTGGTAACGACCGCCCTCTGGTGTCTGACGCTCATGCGTAGAGAGCTTGTGAATGTTTGATTGATTCCATGATTAAAACACCTCACGAGGACCGATGAAATGTGATATCATCATCGCAACAAAAGTTGTCAAATATGTTGCATGGTTTTACGACTATTTATGAACGCAAGTGAGTGAAGAGCACAATCCCAGGGTCTGATTTGCCTGATGTCAAACAGTACAAAGATTTGAGTGACTCCATCAAATTATACGGTAGGCACGACAAGTGAACAAGGACTACTCTTCCCGGAAATCACATCAGCTAAATGTGAAGGTTGTGATAGCAAAAAAAAAGAGGCCAAAACAGCGTTTATAAGCACAGCCCTTCTCAGCTCACCTTCCTCCACTATTGATATCAATCATTTATAACATTGGTTTCTGCTAAGCTTTCCAGCAAAGTGTTAATCAAAGAGGTGGACAAAAAAGGTGATGGGATGACAGCACCACATCGCTAAATAAGTACAGTCAACAATACTCTCAATGGCAAGAATGTACAGTTTATTAACCCCCAAATGAATTAGAGAACAAAAAGTACTCACCATTCCTAAATACCCGAAATATGGCCTTGAAACAGGTGGGTAGAAGGGCTTCATCAGATTTGCAGATTGATTGCCAAAGAAGCTCATTGGCGAACAATGGACGAGAGCGCAATTGACCGAGGCAAGAGGCAATACGTGGTAGAGATACGTGATCCCTTTTATCACTGCCAAGTCTTTGATTTTGAGCCTGTTTGACTCGTCCAGTCGAGGTGACAGCCATTTTGATAACGGTATACAGCGTAGGCTAGACAAATTGGAAAGAAAATACCGAGAAATAAAACTCCGTCATTGATTAGAAAAGGAAGGTACCCTTTACCACGCTGACGAATCTGTTTAACAAAGAATTTAAAGTGGTAAAATTAAAAACTAGCCGTTAGCTGGGAATTGTTGCTAGTGATGTGATAACGTTATTTAACCAAGTTCTGGATACCTCCAAAATGAGTGAAGAATTCATAACAAAGTTACCAGAAAAAGATTTGCATCCGAGGTATAGAGCAGAAGGTACTCCAGAAAATCAAATGACCTAGAATGAAAAGGTGCTCAAGAGAGGAGAAAAAACCAGCACAGATCATATTTCCAAGTGAAGAAAGTAGAGTGACTAACCTTAACTTGAGCAGAGCCACAGTTTCTTTACGCGATTTTGCATCCATTTTGGAGGATCTAGCAGCTCTGAACAGGGCCGCTAAAGCATCGTCTTGTTCCTCAATCTGTTCGTTCGACAAGAACTCCTCCTCCTCCTCCTCTTCTTCAATTTCCACCTCGGTAGGTGAGCCTTTTTCTAAGCCCGCAAAATTATCTGAAAATAAAGGGAAATTGGGATATAGACCAACTATCCTATAATAAAAAAGCGTTGAAAGCGATGACCCATTACATTGAAAATAGCGCCTGTAGCTTATACCTGCAGACATCGAGTTATGAAAGAAGGCAACGCAGTTTGTAACCATTTCATTTTTAAAAATGCGCCGACAACTTGAGGCATGATGATCCATCAACTAAAATCATTATCCAATTATCCAATAAACAGGACAAAATAATCGAACTTCAACTCTTTAAATGCCTTATGAGGCAAAACAGTCATCATATTGAAAGCAATACTTCATCTACTCGCCTATTTCGCTCTCCCCTTTTTCCCCTTCAGATGATGAATCATTAGAAAATTCTTCAGGATCATGCTCATCTTCTCCAGCCACAGCGACTCGCTCCTCTGCTGTCTTTGACCGACTATCCACAATGCTCAA